CCAAAACAACCCTGAGCACTAAGAGCAATGCCGGGGGGATTACTACACCAGGTTTTAAGCTGTATTACAGAGCTACAGTCACAAAAAGAACATGGTATTGGCACAAAAATAGACCCATAGATCAACGGAACAAAACTGAAGACCCAAATATGTGTAAATGAAATTTCAGCCACCTGATATTTGACAAATGGGCCAAGAATATTCACTGGAGGAAAGCCAGCATGGTCAGCAAATGGTGCACCTTGCACAAAGTCAGTTCCAAATGGATCAAAGACCTCAATGTAAAGCCTGAAACTCTGAAAGTGTTAGAAGAAAATATTGGGAAAAGCCTACAAGATATAGGTGTAGGAAAGGATTTTCTAAACCAGATATCATTGCTCAGGAAACAAGGGCAAGAATTAACAAATGAGACCTCATTAAAATAAAAAGCTTCTGCACATCAAAGGAGGCAACCAGGGAAGTGAACAGAAAACCTACTGAATGGGGGAAAATCTTCACCAGCGACAAATCTGACAGAGGTTTAATATGCAGAATATATAACGAACTCAAGAAACACAGAATCAAGACGAGTAACCCAATTAAAAGATGGGCTAAGGAGCGGAACAGAGAGTTCTCAAAAGAAGAAATGAAGACGGCTATGAAGCATCTTAAAAGATGTTCAACATCACTAATAATTAGGGAAATGCAAATTAAAACCACTTTAAGATTTCATCTTACCCCAGTCAGACTGGCTAAGATCAAGAGAACAAATGATATCAAATGCTGGAGATGATGTGGGGAAAGGGGAACAGTCATCCACTACTTGTGAGGCTGCAAACTTGTTCAACCTGTATGGAAAACAGTGTGGAGAACTCTTAAAAAACTACAAATGAACCTACGATTTGTCCCAGTTATACCACTCCTTGACATATACCCAAAGAACTCGTCCTCTTGCAGAGACACTTGCACATCCATGTTTGTTGCTGCCCTTTTCACAGTAGCTAAGAGATGGAAGAAACCTAAGTGTCCCTCAATTAAGGGGTGGATAATGAAAATGTGGTTCATTTATACGATGGAGTTTTACCCTGCAGTAAAGAAAGACGAAATCATGAAATTTGCAGGTAAATGGATGGAACTAGAAACTGTTATACTAAGTGAAGTAAGTGAAGTAACATAGACTCAGAAAAAGAAACGACATATGTTCTCCCTCATATGTGAATCCTAGTACCAAATCCTTATACATGAGTGTGTATCCAGACACAACTACAGGAACCAGGATAATGGAAAGGAAACAGGGAGGTAAAGGAAAAGAAAGAACCTGAAAGAGAAGAACAGTGGAAACAGGCCTTAATAAGGGAGATATGGATAAAAATCGGGTTAGTTTAAGGGAGGTGGGAGGGAAGGGTATACAAGGAACCTAGTGGATAGAGGGAAAGAAGGAACTCAAGAGAGGTAGGACCATAGGAGAAGGGAATTATTAATGGAGAAAGGGGGAAATGGGGGCACCTCAAGTGGGAAAACCATGATGGAAGGGTGAGACAATGCAAGAGATAAATAATGCCTAACTAGTTTTGGAATCATATTACTCTACAACCTACTGACAAATTATACATAGCAGATCAAGAAATATATGTCTATTTGAGGTTTATCTGAGAACAACTGACCTTTGCCCAAGATTTATCTACATGACACACAGTAATTAAAAGTACCAGAATGGTGGAACTAACCTTCTTGAATGTTTAACAGACATACTTTGAGGCATATAATAATTTGGTCAGAGGGACATAAAGGACAGTTTTTGCTCCTTGCCCTCCTAGGTCGACTAGTTCCCTGGGACTATGAGCATCTCTCAAAATGTCCTGTAATGGTGGTCATCTTGATCAAGGAGGCTGAAGAGACCTCACCAGATGGACTTGAACCAGATGGACTTGTCCAGTCTACAAAGAGGAGGGTCAACGCAGAGGAATCATTTCCTCTATGCTTCCTAGTGAATCCAACCATGGTTGAGCAGGACCTTTGACTTATCTTCACTTAGGCAGAACTGGTAAAAGAAAGGAGCCAGGGGCTCCTCCCAAGCCCATGTGACCCCTGAGGAACAGATCCTCAAATGACCTTAAGAGTAAAAATAAATTGGTTTTTCTGGGCCAACTCTATGGCCTTAAGCACCCAAAATGAAAGTATAACCAAAGACTAAAGGGGCCAATATAATTTCTTAGGAGTCCATATGCATAGCTAAAAGCTACATAATAAGTAACAATGCCAGATAGGAGATACCTTCTTTTGAGTTGTTGGCCAGGGTGGCCCAAGGGACTCCCAGATAGTAACCCAGCATAGAACTGGGACAATGAACAGCAGACTCCAATCTTATCTAAAGGAATGTTGACAATTGATTACTGCTAGATGAGGAACAGCTCACCCTCCTAAAACAAAGACCTCTAGATAGGCTGACTAGATTCACCAGAAGGACAAGTAGTAGGGAATGGCTGGGGAGCTGATAACACAGCAGACAGTAGCAGGGATATTAGGGTATAAAGGCTCTAGTGGAGGAAGGGAGGCTATGGGAGGGTGTTATCTGGGAAGTGGGTGTATAGTTGAATAAGATGGTTAGGGATGTTCTGTGTGATATAGACACACACAAAAAAATCAATAAAATTTTAAAAATGTATTATATTTGAGGAGGAAGCAGGGAAATTTACATCATGCTAATTAGTAGAGGTGATAAACAATACCTTTGAAATCTACCAGATCACTTTATTGACATACACAGGCACCAAGGATCCAAGTACAACTGATTATGACTAGTAATAATCAGATGCACACAGATTAGAGATGCATTCGCCAACATCTCAGTGTTAGTACCAAAAACAGTGAGTCTTTCTGCAAGGAACAATATATTCTAAAATGAAATAGAGATCTTTTTTAAAGGTTAAAACTCAGTTTTATGTCTCAGAGGGCTTACACTGAGTTCAATATTGTAAAACTGTATTAATTCAACTATGAACCTAGAAACTTACAGCCACTTGTGAAAGAGATGTACTCTTGCTCTGGAAGAGATATGCTCTTGTTCTGGAGTGTGTTACTGAATATGTTGAAGCTGTAGTGAAATGCTTCTTCTAATCATGTAGTTATTAAAAAATAAAAATAATAAATGATTAAAAAATAATAATAATTAGTAGATGTGAAAAACATTACCAGTGAAATCTACCTAACGACTTTATATCCATGCTCAGATGCCAAGGAGCTCAGAAAGTAACCGACTGTGACTAGTAATAATAGATATATAGAGATTAGAAACGCATGTGCAAACATCTTATTGTCAGTTGCATTAAAAATGAATATTTCTATATGAAACTGTGTATTTTAATAATTAAATCAAGATATTTTTTAAACAGTAAAACATTTTAATTTTATGTGTTATAGGGTTTATACTTAGTACAATATTGTATAACTGTAATAATTCAATTGTAAACCTAAAAATTTACAGCCAATTTTGAAAGAGATGCATCTTAGCTCTGGAAATTGTTATTGACTATGTCAATGCTGTTGTAATGAAATACTTCCTTTAAGTATGTGGTTATTAAATAAATGATTAAAAAAAAAGAAACAGGCAAATAGGCACGGTGAAACCAGCCTATAACAGCCAGCCATTCTCACCAAAATGCTGATGTTCAGTGAGAGGCTGACCCTGTCTCAGAAATGAAGGTGAGGAGCAATAGACAAAGATGCTTACATTAACCTCAGGCCTTTGCATGCACATGAGCAGTCATGTACAGGTACACACACACACACACACACACACACACACACACACATTTTTTTTAATGTCCAAAAGTTAAAGTAAAGAAAACTTATTGATCTAGTTTGAAGTTAGTATTCTACATGTATCCTTCTTCCCCACAAAGTAATAATTTCTTAAACATATAGCCCTCTCATTCCCCTGAAACTTGCTTCACACTTTTGTCAGAGAATAATTTGCTACTATAAGAAAGAGGATTGACTATGTTTTGCCCCTCAGCATGGACTGAAGAACTTGTTTACTACACAAGGAGGTGACAGGAGACACAGCCATGATTCAAACAGCTGCTTATTAGGAACCCCCAATGCTTTGATGAGCTGTTAGTTCCAGAATCTAAAATTTCAGAAGATTTAACTGAGCAACTCTAGCTAACAAAGAGCTTGTTCTACCAAAAGTCAGCTTCTGAAATGGCTTCAAATGTATGTCTTCTCCATGTAAATGTATGCCTCACCCATGTAAATGTATGCCTTGCCCATGTAAATGTATGCCTCACCCATGTAAATGTATGCCTTGACCAATGTGTATCTCACCCATGTAAATGTATGCCTCAGTTATGTGAATTTATGCCTCACTCATGTACATCTATGCCTTGCTCATATAACTGTATGCTTTGCCCATGTAAGTGTATGTATCACCAGCAGTGACACTGATCATTTTCACTGTGGAGTCAAAATTGTCAGGGGTTTGGTAGGAACCTTGCCATCTGGGCCAGAATTGTGGAATTTGTATCGTCCATGTTAGAGGAGTCAAGTTATATATTAAAGTGTGCCCCTGAACTCAAATTCGTAAAAACTGCATTATAGTTAATTTTTTAACTTAAGAAATTGTAATGGAAAAACTGTCAAAGCACATAGAAAAAGATTCTTAAGTTTTTACCTCCTCGATCACGAGCAGCTAAGCTTTGACCCCTTCTTAATGTGATATCCAATTGGTACATTCCGGGATCAGCCAAAGGGACATCTGCATTACTGGTTCCAACTGTATTTATTTTCTGGAAAATAAGAAACATACAAAATATTAAGTTTATGACCTCTGCCCTAATTTCCTCAATAGGAGATTGTATGCAGTTTAAAACAAATTACGAGAATTAGCAAACGAAATAAACTAACTTATGGTTTCACACAAGATCAAACCACACAGTTCTCTAAAGGATTTAAAATTCATGAAATTCTTTATACTCAAATTATGTTGCGTAAATGTCCTATTTTACTGAGTTTATGGCTAGCAGATATAATATGAAGAACATGGCCTGTGGAAGGTCACATAACTTATCTTAAAAAATTAACATGGGAATAATGTATGAAGTACAAACACAAAGAATGATAAATAGAAAATGAAGATGTGCAAAAGTAATTGACTTGACGTAACTGAAAATTAATACAATTTATTCATGTGATTGTATTGACTCAATCATTTATACAAAAGATCTACTGATGAATTATACACTTCTCCTTCAGACTCAACATAAAATATGATATAATTATATAGAAATAAAGTCTCCCAACATTTTCACAGTATTTACAAGAAACAGCTCTTCAATGGGACTCAATTTCTAATGCTGTTTGTTTGGAATCAAAATGGATGTGCTATTTCAAAATCCAAAAAGTTCTGCAGGGCTGCCTAAAGGAATGTTTTAAATAACAATATTTAGTAAAAATTGTACAGTTCATACTTTATAGCTTCTGCTACCTTTTATACAATAGGAGAATTTACTTTCTTTCCATATTTGAGATTAAAAAAAAATTCTCCTTTTGGTCATTTTTGTTTGTCTCTGTGTCTGTGTTTTTGAGACACAGTCTCACTCTGTAGCTCCAGCTTATTGGAGTAAAAGAGGCTGGCCTTGAACTCACAGAGATGGGCATACCTCTGCCTCCTGAGTTCTGGGATTAAAGGGGTGTGCCCGATGCTTAGCTGGCAAGTTCTCATTTATTTTTATGATTCAAAAAGGAATGTTCTCTTGTTTTCAAAAACTTGTGTGGATGAGAGAGAATAGGGCAACCAGGGAGCAGTCTGTCTCTCAGTTTCATAATTCATAGAAAAAGCAATTATAAAGCCACATTAAGAAAACTATTGAGATAAAAATCGTTTAATGAAAATTTACCCTTAAATTGAATTAGTGCTTTCTTTGAGGTTTTAAGATTGAGGTAAAAAAGCTTTCCTTTTGGAGCAATTATTGCTTAAAATAAGAAGCACCATTCCTTTGATTGACACCTGAATTCATTCTCTCCTCTCATAACAATAAAAGGAATTCACCCTCTTTTTCATGATATCTTTCATCTATAAATGGTAGCACTAGTCCCTAATGCCCCAGGCTGGAACTTCTAAGCTGTCTTTGACCTTTATTTCCTCCCACTGATGCCCAAATAGCTGCTAAAGCTCATCTACTCCATTTCTGTATGACATCTCCCAATTGCCCTTTTCTTTTAATTCCTATTAAGCTGATACAAACCTGATCTTCAAACAACAAACAAGTGAAAAGTAAAATTCAACCATATTTCTTAGCCTTCTATGACTACCTAGTTTAATAAATTAGGGTACATCCTCTCATATTCTAGAAAGTATTATGCAAACCTATATGTACACATGTTGATTCATGCATTGCACCAGGTTTTACTTTTCTTTCTTTTAAAAAATATACTTAAAACATCCCCAGTCTCATTCATCTTCCCAGCTCCCCCACCCCATCACTCCTCTAGCAGGGGCACTGGTATATTTCTTGTCTTAGCACCGTAGACCTCTGGACAGACCCCTTGGCCCAGACTTCCCACAGTTTCCTGATCTTTTACATCAAGACCAGCCCAATCCTCCCTCTGGACCCAGAAGCCCTCAGAACCTTGTCCTGTCCCCACCTCCCTTGCATTTCTGGGTGGCCCAGGCCCCCAGCTTCATGGGGCCAACATCTTACTTGGAGAGATCTGGTCCTTAGGAGAAAGCCTGAAAACATCTGAGCCTGATGATCCTTGGGCCTCTGTGGGAACTCCTGAGCAGGAAGATGAAATCAATTTGGCTGCTCCAATATAAAATCAAAAGAGAGAACCTGAAGCCTAGACCAATCAGCTTTTCATGCCCAACAAGTAAACTACAAAGGCAGACAAAGTTTACAAAAAGAAGCAGGCCTAAACTCAACAAAGGAAGGCTTTGTTGAGTTTGTCTCACACAAGAATCAGAAACTACAAAAGAAATCCACATATCAAAGTCACAGCAAAAAAATAATAATAATAACATGAAAAACCCAAATAATATACCCCCACCAAGTACCAACAATCCTGTAGACAAGTACAATGAGAACACCATAGAGATAACACAGGACATGGAATTCCAAAGAACAGTTATAAACATGATAAAAAACAGAGTTCAGTGAATTTAAAAAGCACACAAAGAAAAAAAGAACTGAAAGAAGATAGGAATAAACTGCTAAATGAATTCAGAAAAGAGAAGTATTGAAGAATACTGAGGCTAAAATGAAGAAGGAAGTGAAACACTCAGTAAGTCATTAGAAACAACAGGAGAAAACTTCATCAATAAGATGAATGAAATGGAAAACAGAATATCAGGACTGAAAGATAGAGTGGACAAATTAGACCACACAAACAAAATTATGAAAAATTTAACAAAACACAAGAATGGGATATTCAGGAATTGTGTGACACCATAAAAAGACCACACTTACGAATCATAGGCATACAGGAAGGAGAAGAATCTCAGGATAATGATATGGACCAGATCTTCAACACGACTGTAGAAGAAAATTTCCCCAATTTAAAGAAAGACATGCCCATACAGAAGCAAGAAACATATAGAACACCAAACAGACAGGACCAGGAAAGAAACTCTCCATGGCACATCATAGTAAAAGCACTAAATGTACAGAACAAAGAGACAATACTGAAAGCTGCAAAAGAGAAACAACAAGTCACATATAAAGGAAAAATCCATTAGGATTACAGCTGACTTTTCAGTGCAAACTATGAAAGCCCGAAGAGCCTGGACCAAAGTATTCCCAGTTTTAAATGACACAGATGCCAACCCAGATTACTTTACCCAACCAAAATGTCTATTATAGTCAAAGGAGAAAGAAAAATCTTCCATGTCATAAATAGGTTGAAAGAAATCATGTCCAGAAAAGCAGCCCTTCATAGAGTTCTTGAAGCAATACAAACAGCTGAAGAAAGGAATGACCATGCCAAAGGGGTTACAGAAAGAAACCTAATGAAGATATGACTATGGAAATTTACAGCTACACCAAGAATGTGAACAGAAATAAAAATGACAGAAATAATTAATCCTTCATTAATAACTTTAAATATCAATGGACTGAACTCACCAGTCAAAAGACACAGACTATTTGAATAGATTAAGAAACAAAGCTCATCTTTTTGTTATCTGCAAGAAATTTATCACACTGTCAAGGACAGGCACTACCTTAAGGCACTATAGAAAAAAATATACCAAGCAAATGTTAATAAGAAAAAAGCAGGAGTTGCAATTCTAATATCTGACAAAATAGACTTCAAACTAAAACTAATCAGAAGAGATAAAGAGGGCCACTTCATTCTGATGAAAGGAACATTTGACCAAGAAGATATTACAATCATGAATACATATTCACCAAACTCTGGTGCATCCAAATTCATAAAAACAGTACTACAGGATTTTAAGACCCAGATAATCACAACTCATTAAAAGTCAGTGACTTCAATACCCCATTGTCTCCATTAGATAGGTCAACAGGGCAGAGAGTTAACAAAGAGGCATCTGAATCAAACAACACCATACATCAAATGGGCCTTAGAGACATCTACCAAACATTCCACTCAAGCAACAAAGAATATACTTTCTATTCAGCGCCCCATAGAACCTTCTCCAAAATCGACCATGTACTGGAGCACAAAACAAACCTCAACAAATACAAAAAGATTGAAATAATTCCATGCATTCTATCAGACCACAATGCAATAAAGCTTACAATCAACAACAGAAGAAGCCCTAATTATCACATGAACACATGGAGATTAAACAACACACTCCTGAATGATGAATGGGTCAAAGGAGAAATTAAGAAAGAAAGAAAAGTATTCCTGGAACTAAATGAAAAGAACAATACAACACAAAAAAAACCTCTGGGACACGTTGAAAACAGTCTTTAGAGGGAAGTTCATAGCTCTAAGTGCATTCAGTAAAAAATCAGAAAGAAAAAAGAAAACATTGTCCAGAAAAGAAATTATTGTCCAGAAAAGAAATTATTGTCCAAAAAAAGAAACATTATTGTCCACAAAAATACCATTATTTTCCACAAAAAATAAATAAAAAATCAGAAAAAGCACAAATAAATGATTTAACATTGCAACTCAAGACACTTGAAAAGCAAAAATAAATGAAACCCAAACCCAGAAGAAGAGAAGAAATAACAAAAATCAGTACAGAAAATAATGAAACAGAAACAAATAACACAATACAAAGAATCAATGAGTCCAAGAGCTGGTTCTTTGGAAAGATAAACAAGATTGATAGACCCCTAGCCCAGTTAACCAAAAGAAAGAAAAAGTACCTCCAAATCAACAAAATCAGAGATGAAATGGGAAACATCAAAACTGACACCAAAAAGATCCAGAACATTATAAGGGAATACTTTAAATACCATATGCTACCAAATTTGAAAACTGAAAATAAATGGATGGGTATCTAAAAGCATGGGAACCACCAAAACTAAACCAAAAAGAGATCAATAGCTTAAACAGACCCATAACACATAAGGAAATTAAAACAGTAATACAAAAACTCCCAGCAAAAAAAAGCCCAAGACCATATGGATTTACAGCAGAATTTTACCAGATGTTTAAAGAAGATCTATATCAAATAATACTTAATTTATTCAAAATGACAAAAATGGAGGGAGAACCTCCAAATTCCTTCTACGAAGCCAGCATCACTCTAATACAAAAATCAGGTAAAGATACACCCAAAAAAGAAAACTATAGAACCATAACCTTA